ACGCACAAATAGAATATACTATACTATACATATAATAATATATGTATGTATGTATATATGTATATATATATATATATATGTGTGTGTGTGTGTGTGTGTGTGTGTATTTATATATATGTATATATATATATGTATATATATATATATCTCTCTCTCTCTTTTACGCCGTCTAAACTCTTTGCTTGTACTTGCCATAGTATGAGAGTGGCCTCGAAGTTATATACAAGAGTTTGCTTGTGAAATGTGCTTGGTGTGCACTGAGCTGGCGTATCCGATTGTGCTGCAAATTTTGTATGCACATGCGTGTGGGTGAAGTCCTGTACAAGTATCTGGTGCGAGTAAAATGTCTATCGTGTACGTACAGGTGCCTTTGCACATGCATGTCGTTTCTTGGCGTTAGTAGATATATTCGTGCTCGTGCTCGCATTCGTGCTCGTGCTCGCATTCGTGCTCGTGCTCGCGTTCGTGTTCGTGCTAACTTTCGTATTGTTGCCCCTGTTCATCCCTGTCAATATTCGAATATCCGCATTCGTGTTCGTATTCGTATTCGTTGATATTCGCGTTTGTGTATTAGTATTCGTGTTCGAGTTATTCATTGTTGTATTTATGTTTCTGCATTCTGCATTCCGAATTTTGCACTTTGAGCGTGCGTGCATACGTGCAAAGTATGTGCGTGTATGCATGTTTGTATGCATGTATGCATGTATGTGTATAACGTGTGTGTACGTACATGCGTGAATGTGTGTGTGCGAGTATGTGTGTATGTGTATGTGTATATGTGTGTATGTGTGTGTATGTATGCGGGCGTGTACGCTTTGTGCACGTGTCTTCATGTGTGGGTATATGCGTGTATCTGTGTGCAAACGTATGTCCCTGTGCGCCTAGACATATATATGCACATAGGCCTACATGCACTCGCCCATGGACGCGTGCTAAACCATATACCAAGCTAAGTTTAAACCTTCAAGCTTACATACGATATTGTAGATTAAAAGATGAAAAAACAATGTATATATGAGAATTTCTGTTCGAAGCAAATCTGCTCCCCATCTCAACGCACGACAACTTGAACCTGCGTACCTTGTTCGCCGTATACGCGTCCCACACGAGCAGTTTTCCATCTTGCGAAGCAGATACAATGTGTTGATTATCGGCCGACCAATGCATGGCGTATATCTTGGCTAAATGACCCCTTAAATTTCGTCGGACACGCATGTTGACTTTGGGTATAGCGGCTACATCTACATATACCATAGTAAGGCACGATATGATATAGTGTGCAGCAGCACAAAAAGGGGGGTCAGAAAGATAGAATCAAACATGTGCATCTTGAAAATTTAGGCCCGCATACTTATATGCGCGCAATATACCTAACGCAATATCCCAAACCTTTGTCTATTTGTTCACAGATCACTATGACGATGACCTCGATCTCGAACCAAACATTGGGAGTGATACATGCAAAGTTCCAGTTTAAAACCACATACAGAGTATGAAATTCATCATCGATATAGGTGCTTTCACTTCAGCATCTATCTCTAAAATATCACGTCCACAATGTGCCTGGTTATATAGCTACATAGTGTACAATCATACCTTTACAAATTTCCTCTAGAGTGGAATCGTTCTTAGCCTGCCTTTCAGCTTGTATTTTAGACTTAAGGTCTGCAGCCTCTTGTTTAAGAGCCTCCATGATGCTGTATAACTAACGTTTATATCAAGCAGTTTCGTGTGTATTGAGCTAAATCGTGTGCACGCCGGCGATATCCAATGCCACAACAGCTATGTTGAGCAAAAAAATAACTAGTGAGCCCCAAACCCCGGGCAATCGTAGGGACAGCAAGGATGTGTGCTGTGTAAAGGGGTGAAGAATACACAGATCTTTAACAGCACCGTTGTAAGCGTATAAGACGTATGCGTATATTATAACACTATTGTAAGTATATTGTAAACGAGCGGTTAATAGCTCCGTCTGCGTGTATACGCTGCGGATGCGTGCTAATGGAACAGTTATTGGATTGTTTAGAAGCTAGGCCTAGCTATCAAATTTGACCCAATGACAAGCATCAGTGTTTACTACAGTTAACTAAAAAATTTAGAACATAAACACAGAAAAGCAACAATGTCTGCCGAAGTATTTTGCACTCATCTATCAGACTATCAGTACACTTCCGTTGCCGAGCCACCTAATTGCAACTAATTTGAGATTAGTGGGATAATTTAAAACAATTCTACCAAGTCGGATACTCGTTGTGCTTGAAATAAATGCCCCGCAATAGGGTCTTCTGATAATTTTGGATTTTGGACCTTCAAAGTGTTCGGTTTCTTTTTTTTAGAAAATCAGTGTTACTCTCGAGCGGTTGGGTATCGCTGATCGTACTATCATGGACTTTCAGTCAGCATTCAGCATAGGGCTTCATAACTCATTAAATCGGAGATGGGTAGGTAATGACTATTTGCAGTTTTGTTATTTGATCAACTGTATCAATTTTTAACGCACAAGGATAATTATTGGCATAATGGCAATCTATTTATAACCGATTTAAAAAACTCGTAGTCGTTGACTCGCGTTGAGCGACCTACACGGTCTCTTCACTCTTATATTTAGTCCTGAGTCTGTCTTCACTGCTTCACACGGCTTCACACGGCTTCACAGAGTTTACACGGCTTCACATTTTCACAGTTCACATATTATTTTTTATTTTTTGTATGGAAAAAACAGTGAGTGTATCAGAGTATCAGTATTCAGTATTTACATATCGAGCAGTCGAGTGTCACTGTGTCGGGCTGTCGGGGAGACGTGGACTCGGAGTCGGGGACTCGGGGCTTGAAGTCCCGAACGACAGACCCCATAGGCCCAGCCGCCCATAGGACATATTTCTTGTTGAATGTTTGACTGTCTGTGTATCGATACAAATTCACAAATATTTGGTACTGTTTGCAAACTTTTACACATATTTTACTTTTTAGCCTATCAGGGTGGGCCGGTGGGAAACCATTCTCTAGAGTCTGGACTCTGGACTCTATACTCTGGACTCTGGACTCTGGACTCTGGACTCTGGACTCTGGACTCTGGACTCTGGACTCTGGATCATATAGTAAATAAACACCTCCTGGAGGGAAGGAGCGAGGGGCTCGGAGGGCCGGGAACCTGGACAATGGTGGTGAGCAATAGGCAATTGTGGGGCTGGGGTTGCCCTCAGACCTCATAGTCCTGGGCCACTGGCCCCTGGGCACACTCGCTTATTTACCCTTCTTCACAGGTCAAGAGAGTATTTTAGTGATAATTATAATAGTTTTTTACTAGAATATTTTATATATATATTATTTTAACCAATAGACTTCACTCTAAAATAAAATTTTAGCAAGCGAGAGTGAGTGTGAGAATTCAGATTAGAATTGAGGGCTTTTACTTTTTCCATAGCCTTTCGAAATCAAATATAAAACCCTTGAATTTAGGTGGGTGTGGTCTTTCACAAGAAAATAATATTTATGTTGTACATACATAGTATTTTTATTTCTATATAAGACAAAAGGGGGACACGAGCTTTTTTATCCTATTTACGTATTTATTTTTTAAAAACCTCTGGTGGGCGGGCATAGGACCCCAGACCCCCGGGGTTGGATTTTGCAACAACAACAAAAACATTGGGACACTGAAATTGGCTTTTATTTTATTTTTTAATTTAAAAAGTAGTGTAAAAATTAGGTGGTTTTGCGTTTGTGAGACAAACCCCCTAAAAATATTCCTATCCAGTATATAGCTTTCTAACCGTTCAACGTTTAACGGTGAAATCAAACCATAGCATTCTCAAACCCAGAACATTTTTGTTTTTTTTGTTTCTTTTTCTAATTTAAAAACATAGCATTCAATTTATATTTACAGAAAAAAAGAAGAAAATGCGTTAAATATACACATCGTAGTGATCGTATTTAATTACAAAGGAACTTTTAAATATATGGAAGTGAGGGATATCCGGGCATTTATATTTCAACTAAATAATTCGTCTGACAAAACCAAAAATGCCGAAAAGCTTGAATGTCTAATAACTCTATTGACGAACTTCAATATTTATTTACATAAATAGGTGGTTTTACGTCAATATCTAACTCCATATTCGTGTCCGGGGTATGAAATATTCACATAAATATATGTATGGGACTATGGATCGTTTCCACCTCTATTTGTTTGTTTTTTTTTAAATAAATTTGAAATAAATTAAAAACTAAAAAGGAAAAATGAGACATGCTTTCTGACTTTCTCTAATAATATATTTATGTATCTATGCCTATTTATGGTCTTAAAATATATTGATTTTACGGACAAATAAACCTAAAAAAATGTACTACTTTTGCAGAAGTTTTAGAACGGAAAATAAAAAATCCGGCTTCTAAAAAACAGTGAATTTTCATAGCCTTCTTTTTTTTCCAGAAGGCTATGGAATTTTGTACTTTATGTAGTAGGAGACGGTATACTGGTCGGACCTAATCCTAGGACAAGTCCGGACCTAGGACAAGGATAGCTGGACGGTCCTATTCCCTGAGCTCAGGGCAAGGGGCCCACATGTCAACTATAGCTAGAGTAACCGAGGCCCTGAGACCCGGTTAAGAATACAGCCCAAACTAATGAGTCTGGTCTTTTATACACTGGTTCTAGCGAGGCTAAAACATCTAGCTTAGTTTCACGATAGTAAACAACGTGTACCCTTTACTACAACTAAGCTCTACTGGCTAACCTATAACAGCCAATCTTGGTTTTTAACCCTAGATCCAGAAGTAATTATGAACACCTACACCATAACTCTATACCATAATTTATTGACTTTCCGACGATGGTTAGTTTCTCTCTCCGACTTATTGCCTCAGTGGCACGATCCCTCCCCTCTTATTGTATTACAGGGAACGTTGGAAGCCTATCCTACTTTGCTTTTCGCTCTGGGAGAAAGTTAAGTTCTCCCTAGAGTATACACGTTTCTTTGCCGAGGATACTAGGGTGGACTTTCTTCTTCGACACGTGGATCAAGCAATTCAGATCAAGATGATGGCTAATATCGGCTATGGTTGTGCCACGGTAGTGGTGATTGAACGTTACCTCTTGCCCACTATGGAGCATCGGCTCAACTGTGCCGTCTTGACAACGTTTCTACAAGGCTTCTCGACCAAGCCCGGCGCCTCAACACACTACACCATCAGAAAGATCGTACTAAGCTCATCTACCTGTCTGAATATCCAAGTACGGGGATATCTTGTTTGTTTAACGACTGGCATTTAGTCCCGTGGTTCCTATGTGTGATACAGGTGTCGGTATGCCGAAGATTAAAGATAGCTGAGTCTGGTATTTGTGTGGAACCAACTGGACTTCCCTCTGCAAACGTACCATCCACACCTGTGCCGGATGCTGATCACATCTCGCTCATCTCCATTTGCCCAGAGAAGTGTCACCACCGACGACCGGCACCAAAACCGATTGGATAGTGATACTTCTACCTCTTCCCGCCAGAAGAGAACTCGTTCACCCAGTATGGATGTAGTAAAAGTCCCCTTAAACCACTATCAGTGTGGAGTTAGAATTAGTTTACAATTAATTCAC